CATTTCAATGAATCTAGAATTATGCAGACCCAATTAGTTTCCGGTAAATATTTGTGCATATTAATCACCTAATTTGCATAATTAACCAACTTTCACACTGATATCTCAGGTACTATACATCACATATCAATGAATGTACATGGATGCTGTAGGACAATAGACAGACCTGAATAATTGTGGGTTAAAATCTGTACATATTAATTACCTAATTTGCATAATTAACCAATTTTAAGCTTTCACACTGATATCTAAAGTACTAATTATTCCATTTCAATGAAACTTAGTATAAAGATGCTCTAGGAAAATGTACAAACCTAATTAGTTTGGGGTAAAAATCTGTTCATATTAATTCCCTAATAAGCATAATAATTCATAATTTTTTGGTTCTAATCACATTTCAATTAAACTTGGAGACATAGATTGTCTGTTACATTGCGCAGACCTCATTAGTTTTACACTCAAATCTGGTCATATTAATTTTCTGATTTGCATAATTAGTTTTCAGCTAAGTAATTTTGAATTATATTTAATGTGTCTCCAATACTCTCAGCACATGGGAGTTCTTTCTAAGCTTTCTTTGATCTTCAATGTTATCCAACATAAATTGAGTTGTGTGACATTTATTTGCTTATACTAGTTGGCAAGGTTCCAAGAGCCTATCAAACCTGAATAGACTAGCTAATATAGCCATGTGACTATCAATCTTTAAAACTGGTAGCTTGGTAGGTGTCCATACAAAAAACTTTGAGCTCTGGTTCACTTATATTAGAGATACTTTTTACAATATATTTTGCGCAATTTACAAATAAGGATTATTTTGCTGCGATTACTCAGTCAATTTATACAAAATTTGTATAAAATCATCCAACCTGTGATAAAATATTTAGGACAACCAATTTTTAATGAGCAAATAGTATTATTCTGTGATCATGTCACTCGATATAATCCCAGTCTCAATAAAAAAGTTAGGTCACTCAATATGGAGCTTGTTCTCTCATTAAATAGCTAGGCCACTCAAAGCAGTGCAATTTATACAAAATTTGTATAAAATCACCACCTATATTTCACATCTAATCTGTTGCATAAAATATTAAGGACAACCAATTTTTAATGAGCAAATAGTATTATTCTGTGATCATGTCCCTCAATATAATCCCAGTCTCAATAAAAAAAGTTAGGTCACTCAATATGGAGCTTGTTCTCTCATTAAATAGCTAGGCCACTCAAAGCAGTGCAATTTATACAAAATTTGTATAAAATCACCACCTATATTTCACATCCAACCTGTTATTCTGTGATCATGTCCCTTGATACATGTATAATCCCAGTTTCAATAAAATAAGTTAGGTCACTCAATATGGAGCTTGTTCTCTCATTAAAATAGCTAGGTCACTCAAAGTAGTGCAATATATAACACTTAATCTTTGTAAACATTCCATAAATGCTGTCAAGGACCTCCAGATATGCTGAATGCCTTCTCAGGGATCATCTCAAAAACGTGCAGTAAATAACGGGGCTTTCTGCAATGTTAAAATGCAAACATAATTTGAAAATTTGTTCACCTGCGTGCTTATAATACGAAATATAATATGAAGGTACGTGCAGTAAATAACGAGGCTTTCTGCAATGTTAAAATGCAAACATAATTTGAAAATTTGTTCACCTGCGTGCTTATAATACGAAATATAATATGAAGATACGTGCAGTAAATAACGGGGCTTTCTGCAATGTTAAAATGCAAACATAATTTGAAAATTTGTTCACCTGCGTGCTTATAATACAAAATATAATATGAAGGTACATGCAGTAAATAACGGGGCTTTCTGCAATGTTAAAATGCAAACATAATTTGAAAATTTGTTCACCTGCGTGCTTATAATACGAAATATAATATGAAGGTTCTTATTAGTTTGAGGCAGGATTTGTGATCTTGTGATGACCACTTTTAGTTGAATTACTGTAAACCACAGAATAGTGCCAGAGATAAATTTGTATTGATTGCACGAGGAAAATAGTAGAATTTTGTAGAAGAAAGAATTTTTTTATGAAGCAAGTCACAGCTACGGTACTTTCAGAAAATTTAGTCCAGGAGAATTAAATTCAAAAAATTACAATCATTTGTATTGGCTAAAAACAATCATGGAATTGGAATGCACACTAGGGAGCTCTGTTGAAGAAGAATCTTTAGAAATGGTAGGTAAGAAAGAAGATTGACCTTAAGAATGTTGATTCATGGGTGATTTAACCTTCAAGTTGAGGATCAGTGGATAAGAACTGAGAACATAAAACAGGTCTTTCTCAAAGGGTAATAAAGCGTATATGGATTGGGTCTAAGTGAATCAATGACCAGAAACATGTGAATGGTTTGACAACAACTGGGTAGTCTTAACAGCAATGTTGAAAAATATTAATATACAGTACTGTAAACCACTTTAATCGACAGTTCACAGGGAAAATTGTAAACTTTTGTATCAAACAGCATTTTACTGGGGTTTTAAATGCGACTATCATAAAATGTTGTCCCAAGGATCTTTAATTAAATAATCAAAATGGCTACAAATTAATTTTTATTGTAGCCTTTAAGTTTTGTCATCATGTTAAAATAGACACATGTCATTATGAAGGCAATTGAGTGGAATTGCAAATTGCAATGTTTTTACAACACCTCTTGACACCCCTACTGATAGATCCTCACTGGATTCTAGCATAGCATTGCATACATCGCCCAGATTCATCACCAGGCCAGCAAAAAAATGAGACTAATGAATTCTATTCAGCAAACAACAAAGTTCTGTAAGAATTCTGGAGGCAGGTTGTTTGGATAGCTGACAGTTCAGATGATTACTGTAAAATACTTTATTATCACTTGGAATTAATTTTCACTATTTTCACTCGAGAGTAATTCAGTGAAAATAAAATCCAGCGAATATACAGTTTCTTATATTTTACATTAAACTAGCCAAACATCAGTGAAAATAAATTCCATACAAAACACCCAAAAAGTCTTTTCAACAACAATTAATTCCAGCTAAAATAAAAGATTCTACAGTAACTGCACAATATGCATTTTAACTAGACCATGAAAACTAGTTCAATACTCTAAATTGAGTTATTTATTGGATTTTAATTTTGCTATTTTCGCTGAAAAATAAAATTCACTAAATTAAATCAACTTTTGGATTTCGGCATTCCAATGATGTATTCCTGAGAGGAAAAGATGTATAATAAAGGTTATTACGAGGATACTACAATGTATGCGCTCAGACAGTACGTGGTCGCATCGGTCAAAACAACAGAGCTCATTGTTTCACTGCCAACTTAAAATAGTAAAATTAAAAGTCTGTGAAATTTAATTTTTGTACAGTAACGCAGGATAGGAACTTTCTTGCATCTACAAAATCAAACTACTGTAGAATACTTTATTTTCGCTTGGAATTTATTTTCGCTGTTTTCGCTGAATGGATGATTCCGTGAAAATAAAATCCAGCGAATATACTTTTTTTCCTATATTTCACATTAAATTCATCAAAAATCAGTGAAAATAAGTTCTATACAAAACGCCCAAAAAAGCCTTTTCAGCGAAAATTAATTCCAGCGAAAATAAAGTATTCCACAGTATATCAAGAATGAACACAAAGCACAAATGGTTATTTTAGACTATTAGCCATGCAAATGTATTCAAAGATCACAGATTTGCCTGTACATGTAATTCTTCATTCCTGCATTACCATAAGACTCACACAATGTATTGCCAGTTAAATAATATGATTTGAGCAAAATGAACTGAGAGATGGTACTCATGTGTTTTGCAGAGTAAATATGACCAAGATATAGTTTTTCAACTCCAAAAATGCCCCCCCCCATAAATATGAAAATATTATGCTATAGCCAAAGATACTGGTAATTCACATGCTCGTTTTCTTGTTTTAGCAAAATAGTGTGCAAATTTTCAGAGGCTGATATAAGTTGGTTGAAAGAAGATGACACTTTTATTTGAGGGAATTTTTTACGTTGTGATGATCCACAGATTGTGGATGATCGTTGTACTGCAACTAAGCCACATTTGGACTTTTCAAAATCTATCCTACCTTCTCATGCAATATGCGCAAGTGCATTAATGATAAACGGGTAAAAGCTACCAATTCATGAATCAGGAATTAGTAAACATCTGACAGAAAAAAAAAAATTTGCTTGTCCGTAAAACATGGACATGTTCAAAAGAGTTACTGATGTGTTCAAATGTCTTTTTAACTGTGATAATATGATGTGTATACTATAGGTTAATACAACAGAAAAATTGCATCCAATGTATTTAACCCAGCTTTGAAATAAATAGGCAAGTAGCAGAAGAAAATACCTATACCAAAATTCTTACCTGTTGTAAGTCAAGTGTGATAGTGACAAAGTGATATTCTAAACCATTTGATATAGGAGGACTCTGCCACCAACTGTTGGTTCCATCAATAGCATTCTCCACAGAATGCCTGTTCCTTGGATTCAGACTATAAGCATCACACACTCTACACTGTGGGTTAGGTACAGGCCGTCCAGGAATGTGTTCTACAAGTTTACAATAAGTTTCAGCTCCATTTTCTCCACAGGTTGCATTGGCATCGATCAAAGCATTAGCCGCCAAGTTGAATATAACAGGAAACAAACCTGTGGATAAGATAACAATCATAACAGGATTTAGTATGAAGTATGAAGTATGAACAAAGAGGCTGTAATAATGCAAGGCGAACACACTGCTGTACCATCGTCTGGTTTAGTTTCTATGTTATGACTAATATTCTTAAATTCTGTGTACATAATTCCTGTATTACAGAACTGTTTCTATGACCAAATTGAGTAATATTTGAATGATTCAATGTTTTCCATTTATTTATGCTCTTATTGGAGGCTCACTTTTAATAGAGCAAATGTGGTAGCTGCA